AAGTCCTCACAAAACATAAACAGTAGTTACCTCTCAGAGTAGGACTAAGAGGTGAGGATGGGGAGCATTCTTTTCTCTTTAATTTGTACCCTTTTCTGTACTGTTTGAATTTTTAAATATATATATTACTATTACAATAAAATATATATAGACTCAGATTAGTTTAAAAAAATAATAAAATCTGAGAGATGAATTCACAGTTCCAGGCTTTTGATGTAAAGATGAAGAAATGGAATTTCATGAGACTCCAAGTCAGGAGTTAGACTGGGCCAACTCTAGCCCCACTGCCTGCTTTTTGTAAATGCAGCCTCCCAGGAACACAGGCATGTCTGTTAGCGTATATATCGTCTCTGGCTGCTTTCCTGATACAACAGGAGAGCTGAACAGTTGTTACAGACACCATATGGCCCGCAAAGCCTAAATTATTTACGCTTTCCAGCCTCTGGTATAAACAGTTATAAGACGAAGGAGTGGCGTCCCTGGGGTTAGAACCCTCAGCTTCTCATCCTCAGTCCTGAGCACTTCTGCTCTTTCCAAATTCCGCCTGACACTACGTTCCCTGTGCCGTGTCTGAATCGTCTTATGTCTCCAGCACCCAGCCCGGTGCTTGGCACCCAGAGGACACTCCAAGCCTTCTCAATAACCATGTACTCCCTTCATAATCAGAAACAAAGAATCCAAAAGGGGACTAGAAAAGAGGTCCTAGGAAAAGGGGGCTGGGTAGGAGAGACCTAATTGACACTCCCAAGAACAATGGCCACCCTGCACGCCCAAGTTCAGCAGTGCACCAAGACGTTCCCGCGTCCAGAGGGAGATTCTGAAACATAAGTGAGCCTGGCTAAGCCGGAAGTGACTTACTGACCTCTGTGGGTGGGGCACCCAGAGGAAAGCCAGTGAAGAATGCAATGAAGCCTTTAACATAAAAGAGGGACACGTCAAGAAGCAAGGAAATGTTCTAGAAAACAAAGCTGCATTTACCGTGCCATGCTGATGGTCAGGGGGATTATCGCCAAACACAGCCCAATCAGCAACACCAACAGGAAGAAGAAATTAGAATTGGATGCTCTGAACTGCCT